GCTGCCATGTGGCTATTTCGCCAGGATATGAATTTTATCAATGGTGTCCCGCTTTACCAATGTTAAAATCTGGTCACCTTATATTAGGAGATAGTTTTCACTTAATGTTTAACATTTAAAAATTACCTCAGGGCAATTGATTTGGGGGTGTAGTGACTCTAGAAAGTCGGGATTTCACTGAGAATGTGAAGATCTGTTCTATATATTTTCCTCTTTTGAAGAATTTTTGTAGAACTGTACTCAAAGTCTTCTGAAATGCCCTGCCCTGAGTGCACACTGATGAGGAAACAGAGACCAAAAGAGACCCAGCCCCTTCACTTGTACACTTATATGAGGGCGTACCCCTTCCCCCCTCCCCCCCAAAAAAACAAAACCCAAGCCAACCCAAAACACTGGAATTGCTCTGGGTGGAGTGGAGTGGAGTTTTCGTAGTACACATTTCCCCTCCTGCTAAGCGAGCATTGAACAATTCATTCTGAGTTAGCGCACCCAGTGGCATTGCCTGGGCATGTTCTCTCTGGTCACAGTGAATTTTTTTTGTAAAAGCAGTTTCTCTAGAACCTCATTTTTGTGATGGCCAATCTAAGAAAACAGCTTGTGGCTGTGAAATTCTGTTTCCTGCTTGGGAAAAATGCCCCAGAAACTATTGTGATGTTGAACACAGCTTACAAGGACAACACTATGGGAAAATCCCAAAAGTGTGAGTGGTTTTCTCCATTCAAAAAGGTGACATCTTGATTGATGACAAACCTCGTTGTGGATGTCTGTCAACTTCCTGAACAGAGGAAAATGTCAACACGTAGTGCATTTGAAGTTCATTCCACTAGGTCAGACTGTTAATCAAGTTTTTTATTTAGAGGTTATGAAAAGATTGCGTAACAGTGTGCACTAAAAATGGCCTGATTTGTGGCTTATCGGGGACTGGTTTTAAATGCACCTGCTCACACAGCATCTTAGTGCTCCAGACTTTGGCAAAAAACAGCATGCCTCACTGGCCCCATGCTACTCACCTGACCTTGCTTCCTGCAACTTCTTTTTTGTTTCTGAGAATGTAGTGGGACATGAAAGGACAGCTATTTGACTGCTTTAGAAGAGGTGAAGAACTAAAAAAAACCAGGGAGGTGCTGCTGTCAGCCATACAAACAGATGCATTTGAAAATGTTTCCAAGAATGGGCTCCCAGATTTGGCAAATGTGTTAAATGTAATGGAGAGTACTTTGAAGGTGATAAGATTGTTTTGTAAAAGTATTTAAACACAAAGCTGCTGGTGGGTGGGGATTCGGGTTTGGAGAATAAGTAAACAAACAAAATGATTGCTAATTATGATTAACCCTGTGAAAAGAACCAACAAGGTGTCTGTTGTATAAGGGAAGGGACAGATTTTTGGTATAGTCCTAAGGATGATAAAGGGGCAGAGGCTTGGGGGAGAAGCTAATAAAGTGAGAACCCCAGAGAGAAACTTTCTAGACAGGATAGTGTGCTTGTTGGGTTGGAGGGATCAGAGCATGGCACCCCGGGGAGAAGAGCCTTGGATGGAGTTGGAGAGGTGGCCAGGGGCCAGACTAGGCAAGACTCCCAGGTGATGGAAACTAGGTACTTGTGATTTCCTAAGAACTGAATAGGAGGCCACTGGAGGATGTCAATGAGGGCTCGGGCATGTTCTTTAAAGACTCCTCTGACAGTTAATGGAGGGGCAAAGAGTGGACGGAAGGACATAATTTATGAAGTTTTTATCGTCTTCCATGCCGGAGACAATGGTGTTTTAAAAAGGGAATTCCAGTCCCCTTAGCACAGTCACAAACCTTATTAACATCACCAAGGAATTGCTTTCGGAAGGTTGTTTGAAATGAGTTAACCTCCCCCTGGGGTCCTTGGTTAGCTTGAGCCCCCACCTTTCCCTTCACACC